CTAGAAGACATATTATAAAATCCTATAGAAAAAAGAATTTATTTAGAAACGCTATAAATAAATAATTAATTAATCAATAAACAAAATCTTAAATATATTGTTATAATCGAATTTAGAATTATTAAGTCATGTCAATAAAACAATAAACAAAAATTGTGAAAAATACGTAATTTTAATTACTTGTTAAGAGAGTTGAAGAACTTGAAAGTTTGCGTGTTCAAGAAGAATTGAAGAATTAGTTGAGCTGCGCTCTGCGATATGAGGAATTGCCAATTACCCTGTTTAGTAGGGTACTGGTACATAGTTTATAGGGTTTCGAATTGCCAAATTGCAGAATTGGGAATGTGTTTAATTCCTTATACTCTGAACATATTATTGCCTAATTGAGATTTGAGAATTTGTTAATTGAAATTTCGGATTAGGAAATTTAATTGCCGAATTGCAGTTTTGGTAATGTCCTTATAGTCTGACCAAATTGCCCTTATATATATAGATACTTTTTTTTAAAAGGTTTTTAAAGCAATTTGGACTCAATTTTCTTTTTATAAAATAAATACTATTATTACTATATATACATATAGTTTTATTTTTAAAATATGGGGCCCCCAAATATTGGGGGCCCGGTGCCGTCGCTCATGTTAGACATGCTCTGAACCGACCCTGACAAGAGATATAATTTCATTAGTTATATTATCTTTATTTTTTACAATTCAAATATTTCTTACCTTCAAAATCTTAAAGTAATTATATTCACTACATTGTCCATTGTCTTCTCTTTATAATATCTTGTAATTAAATATCAAAATTATAATACAAAATATGTTATATACTCCGTATTTATTTACCAAGTATTTTATTATACAAATATAATAATTATTAATATTTTGTTCTATACTTTCTTATGATAATCTACGACACACATCTGTCAACCCATGCAACATATCGAGAAAAACTATCATTGTCAAATATCAACAGACGTTTGCAAGATAAAGAGTTCATAGTACAACTAAGATCGCAGTCATATACACACCATGACAAATCTAAAACTTCCAACACCATAATCTCATTGCATGACATTGTCATCTATGCTACCACCAGTAACCCAATTGCACATGACAAACTACCAATAAAAAAAGAAGATGACAAGTATTAAAGATGAAGACAATGACAATGCTACACAAAAGAGAATTAAGAAGACTTAGCGAAATTTAAACCAAAAGTTATATTTATTTAGACTATCGTTTTTAAACTAAGTATTTAGACTAGCGTTATTACAAAGTCAAAAACATTTATTTTAGTGACAATTATAATCAATTTTTCATATATTATCTTGCATTTATATTTTAAATATTTTGAATTACTTATTTAAATAAACAAATTCAACATTTAATTACCTATACATGAATATCTCATATATAATCTTGCATTGATATACTTTGAAGCACGTAATTATTTAAAAATAATTTAGTGCGTTCTTGAATGAATGTGGCCTTGTCGTTTCTGTTTCCCTGCGTATGCTACCTCAAGTTCAACGCAGCAAGTGGTCGGAGATATAGAGTTGTGTGTTATTGTCATGATTTTGGTTTTGGGATCTTTGATTGTAGTTGTAGGAACCTATACTTCAATTAGTGATATTATTGGAGGTGAGAGATAGGTTATATGTATATATATATATATATATATATATATATATATATATATATATATATAGCTAAGTTCAGGTGCGGCGAGGGCTTGCGGTGCGGCAGTGAAGCGTCACCAATAGTTGAACGATTATACACCATCAACGTTAGGAAATACACCACAAAACACACACACAAATTAAGTACGCATCACCAAAAACACACCATTAGTTGTGAATAAAAACACCATATAGTGTTCAGAAATACATACACCATTAGGGGGTGGTGAGTTATATGATTTTTTTTAGGTGTATTGCATATTTTTTGCATTTTATTGTGATGTGTTTTTCTTACACTGTTAGTACATGTTGTGGTGTATTTCTAGAGCCCCCGCCGCACCGTAAGTCCCTACTGCATATGAGCGTTAATATATATATATTATTGCAGTAAATATATATGCACAAATTAAAGGAAAAGTGGTACATACTGTAGAGTGTAGATATATGGATGAGTAACAAAAATGAGAAAGATCAATGAAAGTATGAAACAGTGCAAAACAAAATTTCACCCTTTATTTGTGACCACACATGCCCTAATCATAGGATGCACCTTTTAAGTCTATACCAATTCTACCTCTCAAAAAAAAAAAATCTATGCCAATTCAATTTCGGGCGGCTCCGAAACACCTGGTGAATCCCATTAAGCGATTTAGTGCTTGGCAAAAGAGAGCTGTCGTTGAGCTGGGGTTAGGGGAACTCTTGAATTTACGGACCCTTGACATTCCTAAGCGAATGGCGAGGTGGTTGCTATCTAATTTCAACCCCGTGGACATGTCTGTATATTTTATGTCTCCGAAGGTCTGATTTCTTTTAGTCTGTTCGTGGTGTTTGATTAGTTTGTCCATGGTATTTAATCCCCGGACTCTTGACATGTTCTCCCATTACTAGTCACTAAGTTTCTACTACTACATCGGGTTATATAACGTGGTCTATTTTATTCTGATAGGAAGCAATTCATTTCTTAAATTATTGTTTGTGCTTACATATTTACCGTTGTGTGCGTTTGTTGTCATTTGTAAACATTGTTTATTTGTGTTTAGTTACAATTTGATTTTAGTATTCATTTGGAGAGAAATATGTAGTTGTCATTTTAACCTCTAACTTATGCCATGTTCTGTATTAATTGGTATTGGTACCTCACGCTTACACATTTATTGATACTTACTGTTCATGTGTTTCACTGCTAGCACTCATCCTAGTGTTCGTTAGATGTCCACTTTGTTTTTTAGTAGAAGTTTGTGCGTATCACTGTACCGGCGTGTGCGTATGCCTGTGTTGATCAACGAAGTTTTGTTTAATGTAATTATAAATTAATTTCTCTATTACTTTGGAAATAACCGTTCAATTCACTGTTTAATCTGTATCTAATCAGGTGGTTTGTACTAGTGTTTCGTGTTAGCTTATGATTGACGTTGTTACGGGTACTAACTAATCATGAGTTGGTTGCTCACATTCCTATTATTATTTGTAATATGCATAAGTAATAAAATACAAATGTCTGTGCGTGTATAGCAACCACCGTGTGCGTACTTCTGTTCATTATGAGATGCATTCTCCAGTTTGTGCAATTTGCATTGGTAGAATGGTAGTGTTCCTGTGATGCACAAAGTAATAAACATCATTTTAATGGTATAACAGAATTCACGTGTTACAAGCTTCCCACTATTATTTTTCTGGTGTGTACGCACCCACTCTCACATCAAGGTCATTCAATTACAAAATCACTCTAAATTCATTCATGTCAATCCACACACTGACCATATCAAAACCCCACAACCATCCCTTCACATTTTGTTTGAAACGCAAAATTTTAAAAACAGATACCCCGTACTACCTTCGCATACATTCGCACACGCCACCGGTGACAAATGCACCTACCGATAAAAAATGCACACAACAGCAAATAAACGCACAAATCCTTAATTTGTTACTCTCAAACAACTTTAACACCATGCACCCTACACCATCACACTTTACGTCAACCAAGCAGGCACAGACTACCTATGACCATTCACCACTGCTACTCAATCATTTTATAACGTACGGTTCACCACTCTCTGCCTCTCACGCACACACCAACACAAGTCAATGCACAAACATTGAAAAAACGCCTCACTAATCATTTAATATTTAGGTCAATAATCCTCAGGGGAGAAAAACAAATGCAAAAACAATATCACCACCAACCCCACATGTTATGAGGCTAGTATTCACATACCCGTTTTCGTCGTATCTTCTAACATCACAATCGACAACTTATGCTACCACTACCACCATAAAATTCCTTTACCTAACGTCATGGAACCATTCCAGAACTCACGCACACACCTACCATTCTACCTTGGTTGTATGACGTTCCATTTATAATAAACAAAAACAACTCAAACCAGAAAATTGCACATACCACACCACACTACTGCACATACTGTAATAGCTAGAAAAGCTTCCCGTTCTTGATCTCCGCCACTGCTTCCACGATAACTCTCACTCTTCTGTCAATGCGTTTTATTCCACAGCCCTGACCCACACAACTAAAAAGGTACAGCACATGTCATAAAATATGTCTGAATATATTTTCTCAATCGAATACTCCTAAATATAATCCAAAAGATTCCAATTCAAATCCATCCATAATTAATCATATAATTACAATTACATTTTAATCCTTTTGATTTTAATGTATCCTTATTTACTTTATTATTATCTTCTAATATCCACCATTCATGTGGAATCAATCAATGGCTATTAAGTGATCTCATGATCTCATATATAATAGGGGGTGCACCGGATTCGCAACCTATATATATATATATATATATATATATATATATATATATATATATATATATATATATATATTGCAGTAAATATATATGCACAAATTAAAGGAAAAGTGGTACATACTGTAGAGTGTAGATATATGGATGAGTAACAAAAATGAGAAATTAAAGATCAATGAAAGTATGAAACAGTGCAAAACAAAATTTTACCCTTTTTTTGTGACCACACATGCCCTAATAGTAGGATGCACCTTTTAAGTCTATACCAATTCTACCTCTAAAAAAAAAATCTATACCAATTTAATTGCAAGTACTAGTCGGATTAGTTTTTCCATAACTCCCAACCTCTCTTGCCGCCAACCAAGCTGGTTTATGAATGCATATACAAACATTCAGCCACATTAACGTGAAATTAAAGCAAGAATAATCATAAAGATTCATAACACAATGAAATTCTATAACTATACCAAGCAACAAAAATGATAAAAAAAAAACAATTGACTTAACTTTGTAGGGATTTAATTTGCCAATTAGTTTCATTAAGAAGCTAGTGACATTGTGACTTCAATTCTGCCAAATGATTTGAAACTTTGCAAGCACAATTGCAAATCCTCATCACAAATTATAGTGATCATTTCCCCCCCTAGATCTCGGTACTTGAACTTGAGAGCATGAGTGTCCAACTTATTGAATCTCTTTAAAACTTGTGTCTTCAAACCATCCATGGTAGGGTTGTTGAGCACAAACTTCACAGTATCTTCTTTGTATTTTAATTTCACCAACAACCCAGTAGTGTCTTGAGGCTGAGGCGCTTGTGTGCTTATAGAATTTGTCTGCATCATTGAAGATGGTTTAGATTCTTCGCTGCTGCAGATCCCAGAAATTTCTTCCATTTTGTTTTCCATGAGAAATACTTTACAGATCACCCATTCATGGTTGCTCTCTGATCTGTACTCATGCATTAACCAATTTGTCTTTGTGATTTTGGGTATTTTTCCTTGGTAAAAAACCATGGTTCTCTTCATACCAAGGAGGGCTTTTCCCTTGAAGATCTCGGTGTCTTTTCCGGTGGTTTTCCAGTATCCTGAATAAGTAACTCTGTATATTCCATTCATCCAATCTCTGGGGCTGAAGAAAAACCATTCTTTTCTTTCACCCTGCTGAAATGAAACACCGGGAAAATCCCAGGGATCAAGCTTTCTATCCGCCTCGTCAATTGCCGGTATGGAGAAGCTTCTATTGTCCATCTTTCTCCACAAGTGGTGAGTTATAAGCTCTTCCTCACTAGGATGAAATTTCAAAGAATCCATAGAAACCTTTTCGATTGATCAAAGTTTTATTATTGATGAAATTGTGTTTAGGAAGTATTTGAGGAATATATTTATAGGGATTCAAGAGACCTAGTTAGAGAAGGGAGAAAGTGCAGAAGCTACCATTGCTTATCACGTGGTGCGTGTCACTCACGCGCCACGCATAGGAAAAAAAACTCTTATTTTGAATCAAAATCAAGGAGAAGCCTTTTAAAACTGATTTCCTTTTTTATTTTTATTTTTTTTTTTGAACAAGATTTCCTTTTTTATTTTTATTTTTTTTTTTGAACAAGATTTCCTTTTTTATTTAATTGACAGCCTTCCTTTTTTTTTTTTTATTTACCTGACTTTTATTTTGTAAATTTGTTATTTAATTTTGTAAATTTTGTTATGAACCAAAATGGCAAAATCAAGCCACGGCTTGATTTTGTTTCCTTTTTTTTTTTTTGTTAACGGAAATCAAGCCGTTTCTTTTCTTCTTTTTTTGTTGTTTGTTTTTTTTTTTGTTTTTTTTTGTTTTTTTGTTTTTTTGTTTTTTTTTTGTTGTTTTTTTTGTTTAGGCTTGATTTGTTTTTTCAGTTTTAATTTGTTATTTTATTTTGTAAACTACTAAATTAAAATTTATTTTCCTTTAAAAAAATATTAAAATTTATTTTATTAAATTTTGGTATATATAGTATTTAAATTTTTTTTTTGAATTTATTATTTCCACAGCCTTAATCTACATCTATCTACAAACTTAATAATACATATATGCATACAAACTTAATAATAATCTCTATATCTCTATATATCTCTATCTTCTCTATTCACTGTATAAAAGCCACAAACATGGTTTCCCGCCTAATGAAAACTACACAGTTTTACAATATTTGAAATATTTTATTAATTAATGGTGTATGTTCATGGATTAGATTTCCTAAGCAAACAACCTATTTATCATTTTTCCTATTTCTAGAAAACATTTATTGATAAAGAGTAATGATCAATTGTTATGCTCAAGGTGCCTTTTCAATTCTCGATATCATCTTTGCATTAGTATATATATATAGGCTTAGAGGCTTAGAGGCATAGTGGTTCCAAGATTGGGTCCATGGATTTCGCATAGGTCTTAGATTGCCGGAAATATATGGACCCCGATTTGGATACCGATCCCATTTAGGCGAAGAAGAAAAGAAAAAGTAGCCGTTTGACGACTCAATAATAAATTTATCAGTTGATATTTTTAATGAGTTGTGTTCCTTGACAGTAAAAAGGGCTTTCATAATTGGCTAGAAAATGCAGGGGATTGGGCGGTTAGTCGAAGAAGGTTCTGGGGAACTTCACGTTCTGTATGGATTAGTGAGGATGGCGAGGAGATTGTTATTATGAATTCCATTGATAAACTGGAAAAGCTTTTGGGTGATTGAAAAGGTTTGCATTGTTGATGTCGCTATTTTTGTTCTAACTTGAATGTGTACACGGAGGAGGCGAAGCAACATGCGAAGAAGAGGCAGATTGAGTTATGGGAGCAAGGATTTGGATGTTTCAATTACTCGCACAGGGTGGTGGTTGAAGATGACAGGGATGTGAGAGTTTGGATACACATGTTGTTGGAAGGGGTATATGTTGGTTTTGTAAATTGGAAATATTAATTATATTGATTTAGTTGCTTCTTTCATTCTAATTCATAGCTTTAATTTCTTTCTAATGTTAGTTTTAAAATATTCTGTGGATAAATATCATACAAGTTGATGCATTGGTTTGTTATAGATGATCTGCTTAAATCTACAATAAACTCATCATCTGGTAAGGTATTTGAATGAATTTATTTTGTGTGTGTTTTTTTTTTTTTTTTTTTTTTTTTTGGTTTAGGTAATCTAGAAAGTCATATTGTGAAATTTCATATTAATAATGTCATGAATTTCATGCACTATTTTAAATTTATTTGACATTCTGGCATGAATGCATGATATATCTTCTCTCAAAAGGTTGAATTTCCATTCTGACATGATATATCATTTGTATTTCTCAATGTGTGCTATAAGTATTTTTCTTTTGTTGTTTTGTTTGATAGAGAATCAATATGCTATTCCTTTAATTTTTTTATATGTATGTAGCTGCATCTCGGATTAGCAATTTCGAAGGATTAAAAATATTGTTATGTACTGATTCAAATAAAGTTAGTACTTCAGCTACTAATGTTGTTTACAATAAAGTTTTTAATAATTTGTAATTTTTTAAAAAGGGAAAATAACATTTTTTCCCTTTGAGTTATATATTTATAACACTTTTCCCCCTGAATTATTCAAGTGGTTGTTTTTCCCCTTGAAATGTTAAATGAACATATTTACCCTTAAAATAAATATTTAAAATAAATATTTCATTTATTTTTTTTCTCAAACAAATTAAGACCATAATTTGGTTCAAACCAAACGGACACTATAGAAATCAAATCAAAATATTTCAATTACAATTTAGAATTGAAACTCGATATTTAGAGTTTATTAAAATCGCGAATCGGAACGGTCGGTTTATGTTCCGAATTGAAAAAAATAAAATACATTTATTGTTGAATTAGACTACTTTAAAATAAAAAATAAAATTTTAAAATAAAGACGGTTCAAAATCGTGAATCGGATCCGGAACTATCAATTCACGGTTTAGGATCTAGTTTTTTTTTTTTTTAATAATTTTAGTAAATCTAAATTCAAATATTGAGTTCTATATCTGAATCATAACCGGAAAATTTTTAATTCGATTGCTTTAGTGTTTGGTTGGTTCAGTTTGACCCGAACCGTGGTTATCCCTACTTATACGCAATAATCTAAATTTATCTATACTATATATAAAAAATAAATAAATAAAAAATCCTCAACTTAAATTTCCGCCCAAAATCCTCAAATTTTAATATATTATTTTCTATTTTCCTATTAGTATTATAATTCTACATTAAAATTCCTATTCTAATCTAACTCTATAATAAAGCAAGAAGTTTTGCCAATCATTGTTTCCCACCCAATGAAAACGACGCAGTTTTGGTTTAGTTATGCATCTCGAATTACTTCCGTTTTTACTCTGCGCGTGTAATGGGAATCGCTATTGGGAATATACCTAGCCGTTGTTATTATTACACAGTCCTTGGTTCCCAAGGAGTTCAATTAATGTAGAACTCTTTGGTATTGTAACCAAGATCACTCCTATTAATATCTACAAATAATAATGAACTGCTACGGCATATAAGAAACAATTATATGCATTACATACATACAGAGATACCTAGATTACATAGAATATGAAGAGTTGCAATATTCAAATTTACATTAATTGAGATGTGGTATTTCCCAAACATATAATGCCGGTATCTCCTTTTTTTTGAATCTTCAGTATGTATAAATACCGGTCTTCTTCATGGTCGGACACTTCCGAAAGTAATCACACTTTACAGGCCTTTCTAAAGCAATAGTGATTCTGTTGAACCACTGATTGTTGTCATTCAATGCTGTAGGGCCAAAGTTGTGGGTGGTGAGTTTTTATACTGTTTTCTCTTCTAATCTGTAGATTCAAATACTAAATATTCTATACTGTATATATATCCTAATATATATCTAAAAATACATGCATCTATTTTTTTCATTTATTTTAGGTGAAGTGAGAATAACCAGTTCCTATGATGCTACGAAGCTATGGTTTAATGAGGATTGGGAAGAGTTTAAAGAGTTTAAGTCAAAGTAAGTTCCATCTTTTATATTTCTCCTATTCTTTTTGGTTTCTACTAATTTTTTTGCTATTTTAATTACTGTGTGCTCTACTTTCTACTACTTATTTTAGGCAAATGTTGTCTAAAATGCATATCTAAAAATAAGAAAGATAGTTTAAAGAGTTTATGTGCTCTACTTTTTACTCAAATGCATATCTAAAAATAAGAAAGATAGTTTAAATGTTGTCTACTTTATTGTTGTTTTGTGTTTTAGACACATCTAACTAAGTTTCTAATCTTTTTGAAGCATGAAAGCTCAGGGTACTCCAATGAGGAGTCTCAGTACTGGCACACTGCATTCCAACTCTACAGGACTAAGTGATTTTAATAATGCTTCTGTTATTGTCACTAACTGCCATGACATTAAGAAGGTGAAACAGGTAATCCACACACTAAACTACCAATTCCTTTTGTAGTTTGATGTAACTGAAATTATTAAGTGCTATATATACTTATCAATTTTTTTGAATACTATAGGATGTGGACTACTATGTTGCTGCTGAGATTCTTGGGTTGGATTTTGAGGATGGTTGGTATTACTTATCATGCCTGAAACTTGGATGTAATAAGAAGCTTAAAGAACAGGAAGGGACACTTTTTTGTACTAAGTGTAAGAAGAGTTGTATGATGGGTACAGTTAGGTACAAAGTAGTTGTTATTGCTCTTGACAAGTCTGGAGATGCTCTCATGTTGCTTTGGGATAGGGAAGTTACAGAGCTTGTGGGTATTCCTGCCTCTATTTTGTATGCAAAATACAAGGAGGTAAATTCTTATTACCTAATGTCTACATTTTTTTTCTTAAACTGTTTACATTATCTGTTTTTAATTTGGTTATTTATCAACTATCTAAACAGCTTGATGTTGAAGTGCCACATGAATTAGATGCTATAGTTGGTATGAAGATGCTTTTTAAGATCAACTTCAAACTGGCCCAAAAGATGGGTCCCAATTACCCATTCAATGTTGTTAGGGTTGTAAGGGATGAGCACTTGCTTAAGACCTATGCTGACAGATTTGTGGAGCATGAAGAGCAAGACTTAATGTCAAGGATGATTGAGGAGGAAACTAACACTGATGCAGTTTCTGGAGTAAGAATTTGAAACCCTAAATTATAGGTTTTTTTTTTTTTTTTGGTTACTAATAGGTTTTTCTGCTGTTCTTAATTATAGGAAGATTCTATTGGAGTTGAAGTCAATAGTCCTGCCACTGTCCAGCCCTCGCAAAAGGAAGGAGAAGACAATGCAGAAAATGCTGGTGCCAT